ACCACAGGCACTGCTGAAGTGATGGGAAGGTAAGGGGAGGATTTTTTGATGGGCAGTCGCCTTCTTCCAAGAAGGAGTGAATCCACCAGCATTTCAGCATCTACAGCAGGCACGTGAACTACACTGAGCAACACATCCAGGCTTTGGAGCTGCTTGTTGACATGCACTTACAGAAGGAAGAGAGAAACAGACGTGGCTATGGAATAATCCATCTGACCTATTTTAGCCCTTTTTCTCTCAATGAAAACAGTAATACCTGGAGATGCCCGTATATTTATATTCCCAAGAAAGGAGACAAGCTGAGTATATTTTATATTAGACTAAACTGACGGCTATCAAAACTTCAGCAGATGAATTCCAGCTTCCCAGAATAGTCCTCTGATGGTAAGATAGCTCAGGTATTTACTCTAGCTCAAGTCACAGGAAAACATAAGCATTTGTTTGACTTAGGAGAATCACTGCAACTTGCTTTGATTGCTTCTTTAGAGATTGGTCAGATGTGTAAGATGAACTATTTGAAACACCCAGATCTCGTTGGGTTTATAGGTAGAACTAATGCTGGCCAGGACAGGAAGCACTGAATACATGTACTAAAGAGACACAATGGTTAACACTGTATTTTGCACTAAGAAAAAATGGCAGAATATTGCTCTGATTTGACCTGTGTAATTTATTACAGTTAAAGTTAACAGTAATATGGTTACAGAGTTATATGTGTTTGCACATTATAAATCTTCAGTCATGGTTTATATTACCACTTCTGGAGTCATAAAAGGTTTTAAACGAACAATATCTGGACAGATTTTTCAATGTCAATGAATTGCTTTAGGAAGATGATGTCCTCCCACCACTGAAAACCCAGTTTATAGTATGCTTTCCTCAGCTAATCCTGGGAAGGGAGGAAGAGGTGGTTTGTTTCTTGCCTTTTAACACGGAATTAAATATTGCACTAGAGGAACTTCAACACAAGATGAAAAAGCATTTCTCAGGTTAGATTAGATTGGATGGGAAGCGTTAAAGGGGAGAAACGTGCATTCTCCAGTTTGAGAGGGGTTTTTATCTTTTCACTTTTGACCGGTAGAAGTTGAGAATTATCTGTGAAAATCAGCTCATCCAATTGTTTAAAAAGGTGAATAGATGGAGAAATGGAAATACAGGGAAGAGGAGGGGAAGAAACAGAGAGAAATACATCCCTCCAAAAATGTAATTCACCTCTCCTGAGAGCTTAATTGAGGGTAACATCAATTGCTCTCTGGAAACCCTTGTTTCATTCAGTGAACGTCTTGAGACTTTCTATGCCAGGAAAACATAATGGGGACAAAGCTGTACTCCACAGGCAGCACAGGAATGACTTGGTTGTACAGAACTAAGCCGAATTGCCTAAGTCATGCAGACACATCCTGGATATTCAGGATCCCCTGCAAGTTAAATAGAACTGGGAAATCTGCTCTTACATGGGCATCCAGTACCCATAGGTTTCAGTTATAGTCTAGGTTACTAATTATGAATCAGATATCAAAATATGATATTGAAGTTGTTCCTGTATCTTCCATACGGTATATGATGTGAATGGAATAACGTTCTTCCTTTTATCCCTCTCATGTTTTTCCTTTATTATCATCATTCTTCCTTCCTTCTTTTCCACTTGCCATTATTCCCTTTGTTCACTGCAGCTCTTCTCATTATTTTTTTCATTTAAAAAATATTCCATATATTTTCTTTTTTATTTTCTTTACTTTTTCTCTGAAGCTTGATGCTGTGCCCTTTGCCATGAAGCAGAAAAACAGCACAGAATTCCAGGAATTCATCCTCCTGGGATTTCCAGCTATGATGGAACTTCAGATGTTGCTCTTTGTGGTATTCCTGGTGGCCTACATGCTGACCATCTTGGAAAATTTACTCATCATTATCTTGATAAAGATAAACCACCAGCTTCACAAGCCCATGTATTTCTTTCTCTGCAACCTCTCCTTCCTGGAGGTTTGGTTCACCTCAGTCACTGTCCCCAAACTGCTAGCCAATTTCCTTGTTGAAAGCAAGAATATATCTTTTGGAGGCTGCATGACCCAGCTTTACTTCTTCAGCTCCTTTATTTGCACTGAGTGTGTCCTCCTTGCTGTCATGGCTTATGATCGTTATGTGGCCATCTGTAATCCTCTGATGTATCCAGTCATCATGAACCACCGGCTCTGCATCCAGCTAGCCGCATGCTCCTGGCTCATTGGTTTCTCGGCCTCCATGCTGAAAGTCGTTTTCATCTCTCAGCTGTCTTTCTGCGGCTCCAATGTCATCAACCATTTCTTCTGTGACATCAGCCCCTTGCTGAACATGTCGTGTGCTGACATGACAGCAGCTGAAATAGTAGATTTCATCCTGGCCTTGCTTATCTTGCTGATTCCCCTCTCCATCATGATTATCTCCTACGTATGCATCATCAGCACCATCCTGAATATCCCCACTACCCAGGGCAGGGAGAAAGCCTTCTCCACCTGTGTTTCTCACCTCACTGTAGTCATTATCTTCTTTTCAGCCACCCTGTTCATGTATGCCCGGCCCAAGAGAATCCACCCTTTTGACTTAAACAAGCTGGTGTCAGTTGCATACACTATTGTGACTCCCATGCTCAATCCCTTCATTTACTGTCTGAGGAACCAGGAGGTTAAGGAGGCTTTGAAGAAGATCTTCAGACTGTCCTCCAGTAAGATAGCTCCTTAGAGACAGAGTGTAAGCGTGTTAGAAGGAAAGGTTTTCAGATTTAGGTTGCATTCAGAACTCTATTATGCTGTGTGCGATAGCTGACAGCTAAGGTGAGATGCATGTGCCTAACATGCCTCATGTTTTAAGAGCCTTGGCTATTCTGCTCCATTTATGAACGTGATGCTAAAAGGAAGATTCTCTTCTGCAGTTCCTCTATCGTATCTGCCTATTCAAAAGGAGAGGTCTCAGGCACTCCACAGGATTTCGGATTCTGCAGGGAGCCTCTACTTAGGACTGAATCAATCCTCATGGAAGAGAGCAGAAGAAAGTGTTCACAGTGGGACGAGAGAAGCCCAGCTTTTCAAGGAAGGTTGAAGAAACACTAAATAAATTGATGACTTCATATACTGGGCACTGTAAATGAAATAACCTTTTTCTCCCCATTTTTAGCATATATTCCTTAAATTCTGTTCTGATAAATTCTGCTGCAGTCACTGTGTATTAGCTGGAATATGAATGAACAACCAACCTCTACTATGTATATGTACCGTACTGTGTATATGTACTGTAAATTATATATGAATTGACATTTATTTTCAATAAATAATAATGTAGTCAAATATTAACGATGTACATTCTTTCTCAGTTTCAAATATTATACAATATATTGAATATATGTATACAGAAAGCATTAAACCCCTAATATTCTGATTACATCTGCTGAGATAAGATAAAAAATCCCCAACAGCAATAACAACAAATGATGTGAGACATCAGAATATCCTTAGATGGAGGAAAAGCTCCTCACAGACAGAGTTGTCAAGTCACTCATCTGGGCTGTCTCTGGAGTGCTTGTGTGAAAAAAACCACTCGCTTCTGAACTGATACAGGAGTATTTAAGGATGCCTCTACATTATTAATAACTTTACCACCACTTCATTCCAGAGTGGTGATTCCCAGTTGTGATCCCAAGTCACTGCATGCATGTTCATTCAGGGTTGAGTTGTTTAGGGTTTTTTAAGCTAAATGACATATACTATTGCCAGGCAAGGGAGAGAAGAAATAATTTGTTTCTTTGATTGGTCCCATTGGAAGAATAAACCAAATGCCCAGGTGAAGTCTTCAGGAAAATGAAGGAACAATAAACAGATGTCCCGGCACTCTGAACTTCAAGCGATCCGTTCAGCATCGGCGCAAGGACTCAGGCTGTAAGTGAGATTGAAGTATTTCCTAATGTAGTATTTCTTATGATAAGTATTAATAACTCTTTCTTTAAGTCTGCTGAGTAGTATATTGGCTAACAAAGCTGGTGAGAAGGAACTATGGCAGGAGAGGACACTTCCCTGTCAGCGTGTTTCAATGAAATCTTTTCATCGAGAAGCCACACAGCAAATCTCATTTCTCATAGAATATCTAGGAATTTTAATGTTAAGAAAGTGAAGCAGTGTCTTTCAACTGAAGATACTTTGAATCAGTCTTCCCTTCCCTTTCTCTTCCCTTCCTCTTCCCTTCCCATTCTATTCCCTTTCTGTTTCCTTCCCCTTCTACTCTTACCCTAATTCTTCCCTTCCCTACCTCTAACCCTTCTCTTCCCTTTACCTTCCCTTCCCTTTCTCTTCCCTTCCCTTTCTACTCTTACCCTAATTCTTCCCTTCCCTACCTCTAACCCTTCCCTTCCCTTTCTCTTCCCTTCCCTTTCTACTCTTACCCTAATTCTTCCCTTCCCTACCTCTAACCTTTCTCTTCCCTTTCAAACTCTTCGGCAATATGAGACAACGTGGGGAGTTTTCAAATGGGATTTTGGATGAAGTCTGCAATTTCTGGACACGTGGTCTATGGAACAGAAAAGCTCTATCTAAGTTCATTGTTTTAATGATGTTAAAGTTACAGCTTGAAATCTGATCTTTAATAAAGTTTTAACTTTACAAAAGAAAAAGCCATTGATGGGGATTATGTAAATACTGCTGCTGGTATTGAGACTATTTTATTACTTTAAGAAGGATCTTTGGTGACTGGTGTTCACAAATGCAGAAATCATTGTACAAGTTAAAAATCACTATCTAGAACAGATATTGCCCTCTTGAAGATCAAGGAGAAGTTGGGCATTATGTCACTGAGGGAATCCAGCCTTGCTGTTATTTTGTTCTAAATACCTTTGCCTTGGAACACTTTAATGATTATTCAATGACTATTTACAGCACTAGAAATACTAATATTAATTTGACTGCAGTGTGAAAGTAATGTAAAACAGCTGGGGGGGGGAGAGAAAGAGGGAGGTGTTTAATGTATTATAATCACAAATAGTAAGTCACTAATGTCATTGTCTTTACAGAGGTAGATGGGAGACACGGCGGTGAGCAATCACAGCATGGTCAAAGAATTCATTCTCCTGGGGTTTCCGATTTCTCCTCATCTGCAGATTCTCTTCTTTCCAATATTCCTCATTGCATATCTCTTAGTTTTAGCAGAAAATACGCTCATCATCCTGACTGTCTGGACAAGCTATAACCTTCACACCCCTATGTATTTCTTTCTGAGTAATTTCTCCTTTCTGGAGATATGGTATGTGACAGTCACGCTCCCCAAGACAATGCTGAGCTTTGTGTCAGTGACAAAGGGAATCTCCTTCATGGGATGCATGACACAGCTCTACTTCTTCCTCAGCCTGGGCAACACTGAGTGTCTCCTCCTGGCTGTCATGGCATACGATCGCTACGTTGCCATTTGCAAGCCTTTCCATTACTCTACTATCATGAGACACACTGTCTGTGTCTACCTTACTACCGGATCTTGGTTGATTGGTTTCTTAATTCCTGGATGCAAAGTATTTTTTATCTCTCGGCTGACATACTGTGGACCCAACATAATCAACCATTTCTTCTGTGATGTTTCTCCTCTCTTGAACTTAGCCTGCACGGATTTGGAAAGAGCTGCTCTCATGGATTTTGTGGCTGCCTTATTTATTCTCCTGATGCCTCTCCCTGTAGTGATCCTATCTTACACCTGTATTATCTTCACTGTCTTTCACATTTCGTCTGTACGAGATCGCCAAAAAGCCTTCTCCACCTGTGCGTCTCACCTTATAGTGGTCACTGTCTTCTATGCAACAAGCATTTTCATCTATGTAAGGCCCAAAACACTTCCAGCTAATGACACCAACAAAATCATGTCTGCTTTCTATGCTGTTGTTGTTCCTCTCTTTAATCCCATCATTTACTGCTTGAGGAACAAGGAAATGAAGGATTCTCTCCAAAAGATCTTGCTAAGAAAAAGACTTTCCTTGCAAAAACATTAGCAGGCTTAATGATGAAACGATGGTGTGGCTCAGAAAACCAAACAGAAATAATTGGATCTTATGACTAAACCACTTAATGAAAAACCCTGGCTTGTGCTTCAGAAGCCATGTCCTGGTTTCCGGCACTGCTGCCTTTTCATTTCCCGGCTCATGTGCTTTGCCATAGGAAGGCTTCTGTCAGTGCCGGGATGAGAAGCCCAAGGGTTTCCGGGGCAGAACCACGTGAGCGCAGCAGAAGCCTCCCATCAAGGGCTGGTGCATCCCGTGCAGGCAGGGGATGTGCTCCTGGCTCATTCCTGTGGGCTTGCTTGTGGCCACGCTGTGGGAAACGGGCACCGCTCTCGTGCTTCTCTTCCGCATGCCCAAGGACTGCCACAGGAGAGGACATGGCACAGCCTTTCCTCTTGCTCCCCTCAGCTCTCTGAGGGAAGGCCATTGCTGTGTGCAGATGGGCTTCTGCCGGCAGGGCTGGACCCTACTGCAACACCAACAGTGCTCTCAGGACACCTGTGCTGGGCTCAAGTGCCTCATCCCTGCTCTGTGCAGGTTCTGTGGGTCCTCAGGGAACACCAGGAGCATGTCCGGGGCCTGGTCCTTCCCTGCCCTACCTGAGCCCTGTTGTGCCAGTGCGGTCCCAGCATCTCTTCAGCAGAGGAGATGTGCAGAACCTGTTGTGAAATGAGCACAAGTCCCCGATCCACATCCCGCTGTGCTGCTTAATGGTGGAGCAGTGAATGAAGGAGGGAAGTGGAGTCTGTGAAAAAGAGGTGGGATGGGGTGAAGTTGTTTTAATTTTGTCTCACACAATAAAAAACAAACTAAAACCAACCCCAAACCCAAACCAACCCCATTGTGTCCCTGCTTGATGAAACCTATGACAATTCCAGAGACTGCAGACCAGAACCTGTAATTTGCAGATCAATTAATTTGAACTGCATCTGTGCAGGGCTCTGGCTTCAGCTCTTTTGCCTATGTATAAGGCTTTAGAACCATTTGAGACAACAGAACCATAAACCTTCATGTATAGAGATCCAGCCTTTCTCTGGATCTGGTCTCGCTGAAGGCTGCATTTCCCTCTGCATAAGAAGGCTTCTCCAGATGCACCCCCCTACGGGACAGCTTGTGGGGTTTGCCACATGTTAGACTTTCTGTCACAACTGGGAAGTTCTCCTGTCTTCCTTCTAACTCCCCTTCTGGTTGGTACAGGCTGATACAAGATCACCTCTTAATCTTCTTCTCACCAGACAAAACAAGACCAGCACCACTCTTAGTATCCATACCCTAAACCCCTGTTGGCCTCTGCGGGACTCTCTCCCTTTTCTCTCAGCCCAGCCCAAGTTATGGTGAACAACTGCCACATCCTCTGCTCCAGGGCTTCGGGACTGGGACTTTTTGGTGGTTGGTTTTGCCCTCTGCCTCAGACACCAGTTAACATGAGCCGGGTTCAGTGTCTCAGGCAAAACCTTAGGCATATGCAGAGTTTCTCTGTATGGAATCACAGAGGAAACAACAACATCCTCCCTCTTTCTGTGATTGCTTCCACTGGGATTTGCTAGATCAAACCTATTGAGACACTGAATATAAATAACGTGGCTGATTTATCTGTATAAATCATGCAACTGACACAGCAGCCTACGCTTCATCTGCTCCCTATTGATCATATTCTCCAGGATCAACTAAGGCAGTGGATTCCATTCTGAATTGCCACTACAGAAGGTTGAGACCAGTTTTGTTTTTATAAGCACAGGCTAAGGCGTTCTTAACTTGGAAGGAATAATCTGAGTTAGCTACAAACCAACCAGACCCAGAGCTATACGGAGTTTATACTTATGCTGTATGTGGGATGCTGTGTGTATGTTTGTCTCTCCATAAGCTTTATGTAGCTGTAAGGCCTTCAGAGCTAGCCATAGATACCTCTAATGGGGTTCTTAAGATGTGTTTGCTTTCTTTTTATATGAAATTGTATGTATCCTTGTGGAATGTCCGAGTTCCCTCCCAGTTCATGGGATATACATGGTATAACTTTAGAAATGTATAGGCATAGAAACAAAACCAATGTCAATGTCAATGTCTATCTGAAAGCTCATAACCTAACTTCTCTTCATCCTGGATGGACAATATGATAGAGTGACTCATGTGACTTCTTTTAGCCTGGTGTCTTAGCTGAGATAGGGCTGGGAGCTCCTATTGATTTCCATGAAGTGTGAAGTACAAAGCATGCTGACAGCTTTACTATGAACAATGCTGAATTGAGTACATGAATTTCACACAATTCATTTCCAGAAACTCGGCAAGAAAGTGTCTGAATCTTTACAGTGCCTTAAGTGTGGTGTAACATACTGGTACGAGTGTAAGCCTGTCTGGTTAGCTTTCATTGATTTAATTTATTGCAGGTCGATAAGGCTCATCTTTCCCCTACAGAATGGGTGGGAGAAATGAAACCAGTGTCAGGTATTTCATTCTCCTGGGTTTTCCCACCACTCATGAACTGCAGCTACTCCTCTTCTCTGCTTTACTTCTGGCTTATTTATTAACTGTGCTGGAAAACTTCCTTATCATTCTCATCATCCGAACTAACCCCAGTCTGCAAAAACCCATGTATTTCTTCCTAGGAAACCTGTCTTTCTTAGAGATCTGGTATGTTTCTGTCATTGAACCAAAGATGCTCGTGGATTTCCTCTCCCAAGACAAACATATCTCCTTCCAGGGCTGCATGACACAGTTGTATTTCTTTGTGACTTTTGTTTGTACTGAGTATATTCTGTTAGCTGTTATGGCCTACGACCGCTTCTTGGCTATATGCAAACCTCTCCAATACTCACTCATCATGACTCACCAGCTCTGCATTCAGCTGGCAGCTGGCTGTTGGATGTGTGGTTTCGTCACTTCTTCCATCAAGCTGAGCTTTATTGCCCAGCTCTCATTCTATGATGCAGAGACAATCAATCACTATTTCTGTGACATTTCACCCCTACTGAATATCTCCTACAGCGACTCCTCTTTGCCTGAGCTGGTCGACTTCGTCTTGGCTCTGCTGGTCATCATGGTGCCTCTGTGTACTGTGGTCACCTCCTATATTTGCATCATGTTCACCGTGCTGAAGATCCCATCTTCTCATGGGAGGCAAAAGGCCTTTTCCACCTGCAGCTCCCACTTGACTGTAGTGATACTGTTCTATTCCACCACTCTTTTCACATACGCCCACCCTAAGGTCATGTACACCTACAGTGCTAACAAGTTGGTATCAATCCTGTACACAGTAGTTGTGCCACTTCTGAATCCCCTCATATATTGTCTTAGAAATAAAGAAGTCAGGTTTGTCCTGAGGAAGACCTTCCCTTACACAAGACACATCTAAGAAATCAACCAAAGACTTTGGGAGAAGGTGCTTTGCTCACAGAGATCAACTGGCAGTGCTGATGAACTAAAGTCACGAGGCCCGTGATGAAGTGAACCTCTCCTATTCATGCAACCAGGGACCATATTTATTGAACGAGACCTTGATAGATCTGAGTTTGTCCTATGTATATACTACAGTTTGTTGTTTTGTTTCTTTGTTTTTCCCCTAGGATTCTATGCTGCCTACTTTCCTTAAAAGCCTTCAGAGGAATGACTGTTCCAGTTTTAAAGAGAAGGTTTGGCAGTGACAGAAACTGAACCCCAGATTTTGTTTGCCCTAGATATATTGCTAGGTCCAGAAAACTTTGGGTGGGATCGTAAAAGACATGCAAAATGCAGATATCCACATCTGATTCATTTACTTTGAGATTCTGGTATTGTCCCTGGAAAGAAGCAGGCAGTGGAAAAGGATGAGTAAACTTTCTTAGTTACCTGATTTAGGATAAAATGAAACATCCTCAGAAGGAGACAACTCTTCTAATATAGCAATAAAGGGAATATAGCATGAGTAGCTCATGCTGTGGCGTAGATAATGTCCCTTGGACTCAGTCCCTGGTTTGCACCAGAGCCCTGGTACCCAGGGCACACCAAAGAATTCACTCCAGGAACAAATGCAGACACAGCTGACAGCACAGATCACTTCACTGTTTCCTTCAGTCTGCATGAGCCCTGGATCCAGCAGTATGTCAGCAGGAGTCATGCCGTTAAAGTCTGACCCACAGACTGCAGTCCAAGTCTTCCCATTGAGTGTGAAGGAGTCTAGAGACACAGCTGATGCATCTGTGTTAAATACTGATCATCTGTGAGAAAATCTGATAAAAGGTGCCTCTATGCCATGCTCTGGATATCACAGTGATTCCAAATGTTTCCTATTCTGTAATAAACATTAAATATCTGTCAGTTGAATGCATATGAACATGTTAAACCTGGGTTTGAGTCTATAACTGAGCCCTTCATTTCTGATATGGACTAGCCCATCAGCACACTCTGCTCTGTACTAGCATACTGTCTCTTCAGACTCTGCAGGCAGTAAAACATCTGGCTTTCCAGAGAGGAAACCTTCAGACACCTGGGGAAGAACTTGTTCTGTGCATCCTGTTGCCATGGATACAACTCATTCAAACAAGACTTTTTGAGGGCTTGATCACAGTTTCAAGGAGAGGTGTCAAGAACAGCTTGAAGTGGTCCACACTAGGAAGCTATCACCAGAAATGTGAAGTGCTGGCTGTGTTCCAGATATTAGTAGAAAATGTGCTATGACAATGGGTAATTTATGCAATATGAACCTACAATACACTGTGAACAGTTCCATGGAAAAGGAGGCAAAGAAAAATAAACCCAGTAGTTCTTTAGTTTTGCATTTGAGAGCAGCAGCCACAGAAAGAGTTAGATACATCAGCATGGATTCCCCCCAGAACACATCAAAATTAGACATCTAAGTCTAATGTCCAGTGAGACATGTAAGCACCTACCCTAGGCACTTTCACTATTCATGGACGCATATTATCATCCCCAGGAGATATTTTTTCTATACAGCTTGAATGTTTGCCTTTAACATACAGACGTTATGAATCATTCTCCAACAGCACCTATTTCTCCCA